ATAGCTTACAAAAGAAAAAGAACCTACGATCTGGTGTATCATAAAGTTCATAATTTTATAAAAATATATATTATAAATAAAGTGTTTTCACTTTCTTTTTATACGTCGAATCAATTTCAAAATCAAGATATATTTACCATTCGCTGTATTTTTAAATAAAAAGTCTGAATGGATCATTAAATAAAGAATTCATACATATTCTGAAAGACCTAATAGAGCATAAAATTACAAGGTGAGTGATTTTAACTTCGTATTTGTAATAAGCACTGTATGAGAGTAACCTAACTGACCAACATTTTATTTTCGCTCTTTCAGGATATTAAAGAAACAAAAAGCATGATCAGATAAAACTTGTTATGTATGCTAATCCAAATGTTACTGCTTGAATTATTATTACAGACCATTTTAGTAGTTAAATAGCTCTGTATCTGATAATATAATAATTTAAAACTTGAATTAAAAGAGAGTTTATAAGATGAATTTGCACATAATTATGTTACCAATTAATAAAGTTTCTCTTTAATTTAGTTTCTTTTATTTGTTTATCTAAACTTTAATCAGGTCTTAATTCATTTCAGTAGCCCAAGATACTGCTTATATTGTTTGAAGTACAAAATATTACTGATCGATTTTACTTCTATTTTTTCACTGATTTTTATTACATTGTGTGGTACTTAAATCTTCTGTACTGAATTTTTGCACTTTATTCTGCCATAAAGAATTGTTTCACACTGTTTCTCATAAATGAAGCAGAAAGAGTTAGTTTATATTGTGACAAAAATAGGAAAAGTTTAAATTATTATTGTTCTTTGAAATATCTTTACCTGAAGAATGTGAAGATACGTTTTGGATAGTTGGAATCAATTATAGTGAATTGTCCTACACCCTGGGTGATAATATATTCATATCAAAATGTTATTAGATTGTACTATTGCAGTAGTAAATAAAAACATAGCTGAAAAAAAATAGTTATGCTGAGAAAATACTATTTTGATAAAAAAAAAAACAATCTTCTCAAATCTAGTCAGCTGTAGAATTGTATAAATGTAATTACAGTAAAACGTATAATGTTATTTTCCTAATGGGAAAATTACAGAGTTTCTGAAAAAAAACCAAATATTCTCCACCATATCACAGAAGAGCAACTTTAAATATTTTGTTGTTTTAAATAACATCATAGAACTGCCTAACACTGATCATGTTTATTAAATATCTTACGTTTTAACCACAGACATCTGTAATACTTTAAAAATACTACTATTTTGCAGAAATATGCATGCAGTATAAACGATGCTTCAAAATTCAGAAGAAGGTCTAAAATATACAAACAA